ACACATGTGTATATGTGTATATATATATATAAAATATACCCACATATACACATGTGTGTATATATATATATATAGAGAGAGAGAGAGAGTAATTGGGTCCCCCCCATGTACCTACCCTTTTGGGTGTTTCATTGTGTTCAGGCCACTTGCTTGCAGATCTGCACGGCCACAGTCGCCTCGGATTGCAAGGGTCAGATTGTAGAAGCAAAAAACCAAACCAACGCATTAAAAGACAACAAACTCCAGAACTTTCTGGATTGACAGAAGCTTCCGGAAGTGTCGTGTATTTGCTTCTTTTTTTCGGTTTTGTTGGTTTGTTTTTTTGGTTTATGTCTTTTTGCTTTTGTTTTTTAATTATTACGTGTTTGTATTGCTCGCTTTCTATACCTGCAGATCTGTTGATTTGCATGATTCGCGTGTGAAATGGGAGCATCGTGAATAAATATGCGCAGACTTTCGCTTTCAAGCCAGTTTTGTAGTGTTTCCTGCTTACTACTCCCGACACTGATGTCGCTGGCAGACAACGCGCATTCTTTTCCTAGTACCGTGTGCTTCCGTCTAATGATATGCTGACAGGAGATTCCAACCCATCCCTCCTCCTGGCCACGTCTGATCGGTACACTTCCCGACGGCTCATTGCTTAGTAGAACGTTTGTTATTTTGTTGCGTTTTGGTTCGGAAGCGCATGATACTGATATATCCGTGCTCTCAGGAACTCCCGTGGAAGCAGCAAAGGGGTTGGTATACAAAAAATTGGTCATATTGAGGCGCTGTTGACTCACGAGGACTGGAAGTACATCCTGACTACTTTTACGTTCGCGACAGAAGAGATGCAAGTGCCATGCCCAACTGCGCCAACGACCTGGCCACTGGTTCGGCGCACCATCCCAGACGGTTCCTTGCATTGTATTCCTATTTAACAACTTTTATCGGAAAGAGTTGTTGACTTGGCAGACAAGTACATACTGCATAAGTAAATTTTGAAAATTTTAGCTTCATATGTGATTTTGAGCCTCATGAGGGGCTCTTCACTGGAATACCATCATGGGCAACACTACATGTTCACAACCAGTGAGCATAAGGTTGGCACAGCCGAAGCATTTCTGTTGCTGTGTGACGATGTTCCCCAAGGGAACAAAGCCCAAACGGGCACGCACAGCATAGTGTTGCTGCATCTTGAAAGTTTTAATTTTCCATTCGAGCTTTTCTGATAAGACCCAATGCGGATGATGTTAGCTTCGTGTGTTCTAAAATACAGTTGCGATGCAAACGCTGCACTTTGACCGAAGTCGTATGCATACAGAAGCATCTCTGTCATGACAGGTTGGCTGATAGCCTGACTCGTGCCACGTCAATTTTTTGATTCCTTCGCAATCATGGCCAGGTTTGCTTCTGAACAACGGGGACCCGACGGCTTTCTCACATTCGATGAAGCCTGTGCGCAATGCACAGGACAGAAGCCCCTTGGACCAGAAGCGCGCCCCTTCAAGTCAGACCGCCCGGCGGGTGATGTTCACATCGGGGATCTGCCGACTCGGCAGCTTGACTCCAGTCTTACCAAAGTGGAGCAGATTGCATGAAGGGGCGGCAAAACGCCAGAACCCTGAAATACTGGTCTTTCACGTTAAAAAAGCCTCGCTGCATGGTTTCTGGACCTTGTCTTGGCCAAAATGCTTCCCACCATGCGCCAACACTCGATCACCTGGCTAGCGTGCACCAGGACAGGCTGGGGTGCAGCAGGACAGGACAGTCTCTCGGCTCCAAGGCAGTTCTGTTCGCGCAAGCCAGATACGAGATCGATAGGGACGGCTGCACAGACCTTACGCCTTCAATTCAATTGTGACCTCCAAACACTTCGACTTCCTTTGAGGCGAAACGTTTACAAAGTATAAGCCAGGCGTTGTTGATGACGGGATGTTGCAGGGGATGGATGCATCATTCCTGAAAGCCTTCCTGAATCCGTCGGAAACTTCGTGTTAACTTGAGAAACTAATGAAGACCGATATGTGATGAGGCATTGAACTCAGTTTAGTATGAATACTGAATACTTCTTACATGGTGAGCATATATGTTACTACAAACAACCCAGCTGCTGTACCAATCCTAAAACTCTTGAAAGTGTTTAGCCCGTTCGAAACGAAGCTTTAGCTTGAGAATTTGACACACTTCGATCAACAGGGAATGAAAATTACGCTTGGTATGAATACAGTTTCATCTCGTATCATGTACCACGTTTTCTCCCAAATCAGCTGCTGTATCCATCCTAGCAGGAGGATGCTGCCGTATGGGCCAGGTACACATCTGCCCATCTCGAGCAAGGTGCTGGACGACATGCATGCAACAATCCCTCCAACAAAGCAGTTGAGAACAAGGTATTCCAAGAGATGCGGAAGATCAAGCTTTTCCAGATCATTCATGCCAAATTCCTCGAGATTATCAAGCCTTCTTGCTTGGCCATAGATGAGGATGAGGACTTTGATGCTATCCTGGCCGGGACCCACATCATTTTGTTGACTGACAACGGCGTCTACTACCGTCTTGCCAGCACTTCCTCTAAGCCAGTGGCTTTCATCCCACGGGAATATCAGCCCAAAGATCTTTTGGACCAATCGCAGCACGCCATCTACAAGGCCTACACGTGCGATCCTACCAGTCGTCCTCTTCCTCCGAACTTCTCCGCGCATATGGCTTGGTCGCAGGAGGTTTTGAGTCAGCAATGTTGGGGTTTTTGGAGATCGGGATGCCAGGCTGGGGTCATGTAAATATGCAAAAGCGCTTAAACAGTATTTGTTGCACTTGCTGCTTCATGCTTGCATACATAAGGTATATGTTCCGAAAGGCGTTCTATGCCAGTTCATCCAGATCTACTGTCTGATGATGGTCTCCTCCGTGCGAAAGTCAAGCAGGAGAAGGTGGACGCCGCCTTCTGCATGATCAGGGCCTCCAGTACCACAGACATCATTGATTTAGCCTCGCCTTCGTCATCACCGAAAAAACACGCCCGTACAGAAAATGCAGCATCATCGTCCGCAGCACCCCTCGTTCCGAATCCCGGTTTCGCACGTTACTAGACGATGCAGCACGCACAATAATTTTAGGGTGTTGCTTGCACTGTGGCTTCTATCATAACTGTCGAGTTCCAAGCCCGCATTGTCATGTATATAAACTGTGTTTACATTATGTATGCTCTACTGTTTCCACTTACTTTTGTGGGATATATGTTTAAAAATGCACATATGCATCACAACTCTGCCTGTTGATTCCAGGCACACCCTGCAACGATGTTGTGTTGGAACAAGATGATTTGGAGAAGGATTTGGAGCGCATCCAGCGCGTGGAGGAGGCACAGGAGCATGACATGGATATCGCTGACTGCGACGAGGCGAATAAGGAGTGAAAGCATAAGCACCAGTAACTTCACATGTTGACCGAATTCCTGACACCTGGACTGGTAACTCACCAACCAGAAGATTCATCACATACTGTTGAAAGACGGGTCAGCAGCATCAGCTGTGGCTGTTCGTCTGCACACGACCTGATTTAGATTGTTTTGCTCTGCAGCACAAAACATTCGCGAGCGATAACAAGGGTTTGACACTTCGTCTCTTTGTCCGCACTTGGAGCCGTACTGCACCTTTATCACATCCGTTGCGTAAATCTCAGCGTTGTCTCAAAAGCAAACAGTGTCCCACTGTAGGTTCGTAGTTTTGCACCATGGTCAAATTCAACCCGTTTCCGGATGCGAAGAAGGGCGTAAGACGGCGCATGATCCAGAAGAAACCCGCGACAAAGAAAACAACCTCATGGAACTCCGTGCCGTACGTCAAGGACAACAAGGGTCTAGTAGCTTCTGACAGCCAGTGAGAGATCATCTCAATCCTCGTCAAAAATCAGTTACTACCAGATTGGAAGGATGCGACATGTCCTCACTGTCAAACTGGTAAACTGAGTGCTCTCACGACCGACGGCCGAGACGACATTCTCAGACATCGATTGTGACATCGATGTAACCGAAAAGGATGCCAGAGGTTTTTTGTACCACAACACCTGCACCCCATCTTCACCGCAACCAAGAGTCCCGAAGGTCACACGCTCCAGTGCAGGCGGCTACACGTTTGCTACGTTGACTACATGTCCCCTCCACGTCCTCACGCACATCAAGCACAAAGCTTTGGAAAAGATGAGCCGGAACATCATGATCACACGGAAGGGTTATGTGCACAAGGAGGAGCAAAACATCGCTTTTGGAGGTCCTCCTCGGTCATGGAAAGATGTCGAGGCCGACGAAACTACGTTCGACAAAAAGACCCTGCTTCCCCATGAGATGCCAGCTAAGGATGGCAGAATTGTGGTCTGGGAGCAACGGGGAGCCATAGTGCAAAGGGGCGCCCCCCCAGACTTTGGTTTTGTGCAAACTCTATCCTGCCAGGACTGTCAGCAGACAGACTCCCTCATGAAAGCTGAGGCAAAGTTCCGTGCAGGTATCAAAATATGATCTTACACAAGCGAGTCCAGGTATCAGACATTAACATTTGTTGTAATGAATGGTGTGCATTGCATTGCACAGTGTTTCATGGCACGGTATGTCGGAGTGTGGCATGGCATGGCATGGCATGGCATGGCACTGCATGAAAGGCATCGATAGAAATTGGAATGCGTTGGTAGGTAGGTGGGTAGGTAGGTAGGTAGGTAGGTAGGGCTGTGTGTGTGAGTGTGTGTGTGTGTGCGCGTGTGTGTGTGTGTGTCTCTGCGTGTGTGTGTGTGTGTGTTTGTGTTTGTTTGTGAGTTTGTGTGAGTGTGTGTGTGTGTGTTTGTGTTTGTGTTTGTGTTTGTGTCTGTGTGACTGTACGCATGTGCACTGTACTTTTTCGTATGCATTGTTATGTATCGGTATTTTTCTGGCGTGCATTGGTATACACTGGGAAGTGATAATTAGTATGGGTACACATGCGTGCGTGTGTTTAAGGATGTACGGTGTTATGTGTTAGTTAGGTAATCAGCACTGAAAGCGTACTTACACACATGTAGAACTACCTCTGTTCGCAGGCATGTATGGAGTTGCATACGTATGTTCGTTCGTGTGTCTTCATGTCTGTATGTGTGTGTGTGTATGCATGAATGTGTCTGTCATGTGCATGTAACTACCAGAGAGCGAGCGAGAGAGAGATAGATGGAGGGAGGGAGAGGGAGGGAGGGAGGAGTGGGAGCATTTGTGAAACGGTTTCGAGCTAGGAGGTACATGGTAAGGGAGCAGGAAATCCACTAGGCCCGAGTCGCGCTGGGAGTGTCCTGACCCAAGATCCAGGACGCAAGGTCCCCCCTCCGATACTAGTGGGCCTAGCTGCCCCGAAAGAAGCGCAGGTGCACAGGCAAAGGACAGAACTGGGCCCCGTCAAAACAATATCCTTTGGCCCGACCTTGAAGCCTAAGGCCCCTAACAGTCCCCTAACAATCTCCCGAACCCCGAAACCCTAATCGGACCTTCAGCTCGTCGAGCCGTGTACCAAAAATCCTACAACCTTAAGCGCGAGACTTTTCTATGCGAGACCTCTAAACCCTAAGTGTATGATTTGGGGCACCCTGATTCATAGATACTTAGGGGAGGTTTGCATTTAGGTGTTAGTTCTCTAAAGTATCATGCTCGGGTGTTGGCTCATAATGTTTGCCAAGACACTCGCGATCCCTTGAAGGACCAGGAGCCAAGCAAACATAAACATCCCTGCAAACAAAATGATGTATTATTCCGAATCCTGTGCAAGTCGGTGCCACCCGAGCAGGGCCACGGGTTTAGGGTTTATGGTTGTTGAAATCCGACATGCCATGTAAAATATTGGTCTAACAGACATGGCATGGCCATGTCAAAGGAGACATTGCCAAACCCGTGGCATCGGTAGTGAAACCCAACCCTTCAACCACTAAACCCCAACACTGAGAACTTTTGAATTTTGCTAGGACGTCTTCAGGGGCTTGGGCAGGCTTGCACAGCTCATCGCCACAGTACGATGCACTC